GTTCTGAAAATGCTGTGTTGAGAACTGCTTTAGTTGCATCCTGTGTGTTTTGTTCTATTGTGTTTCCATTTTAATTGGTCTTAGGTGTGTGTATGTGTGAGTGTGTCTGTCTGTCTCTGTCTGTCTGTCTGTCCTACTCAAGTTAAATTCAGGTACTTAAGACTTGCTATGCAGGCATTCTACTGCTTGAGGCATGCTCCTAACCCTCCAAGTATTTGTTTTTCTTTTCAATTTTTTTCAATTAATTTTTCAAGGGTGTATTGTTTTGATTTCTGTGTATCTGCAAATTTCTAAGCATTCTTTTTTTTTTGGAGGGTGGGGTCCGGTCGTGGGGCCTGAACTCTGGGTCTGGGTGCTGTCCCTCAGCTCTTCAGCTCAAGACTAGCGCTCTACCACTTGAGCCACAGCACCACTTCTGGCTTTTTTTCTTTTTGCTTATGTGGTGTTGGGGAATCGAACCCAGGGCCTCATGCATGCAAGGTAAGCAGTCTACCACTGAGCCACCTTCCCAGCCCAATTTCTAAGCATTCTTAGTCCTTCTAATTTCATAGTATTGTGACTAGAAGAGAACAGATATTTGAATCCGGGCACTGGTACCTCACGCTTGTTATCCTAGCTACTCAGGAGGCTGAGATCTGAGGATAGTGGTCCAAAGCCAGTTTGGGCTGAAAAGTTTCCATACGGCTCTTATCTCAGTTAACCACTCAAAAATCAGAAGGAGGAGTTGTGGCCCAAAGTGGTAGAGCAGTAACCTTGAGCACCAGAAGCTCAGGGCCTGGGCACTGTCCCTGAGCTTCTTTAAGGCTAGATCTCTACCATTTGAGCCACAGCGCCACTTCCAGCTTTTTCTGTGTATGTGGTACTGAGGAATTGAACCCTGGGCTTCATGCATGCCAGGCAAGCACTCTGCCACTAAGCCACATTCCCAGTCTACAAATACTACTACCCTTTTACTTTTCTCTCCATGTAGTTTGTGGTGTTGATGGCACACTTACATCTTTTTGCGTTGTGCATTCATAGCAAAGTATTGTAGCATAGATATTTTAACACTTTGACTTGTAACACATGAGAATTAAAAGTGATTGATTGTCATACCATCTTTACAGTATTCATGAATGTAGCTGGACATTTAGCAGTGAGCTTTATGCTTTATTGTTTTCATACCATTACTTATGTCTTCCAGTAATTTGAAGAACTCCTTTTAAGCCGGGCGCTGATGGCTCACGCCTGTAATCCTAGCTACTCAGGAGGCCGAGATCTGAGGATCGCGGTTCAAAGCCAGCCCGGGCAGGAGCGATCGTGAGACTCCTATCTCCAATAAAACCACCAGAAAACCAGAAGTGGGGCTGTAGCTCAAGTGGTAGAGCGCTCGCCTTGAGCTGAAGAGCTGAGGGAAAGCGCCCAAGCCCAGAGTTCAAGCCCCACGACCGACCAAAAAAAACTCCTTTTAGTCTTTCTTGTACAATAGTCCAACGGTGTAAAGCAGCCATAGCACCTTTCTGGGAACACTTTTCTCTCGTGGCTGCTTCTGATACACAGCTTTGCCCGTGAAGCATTTTGGCTGGCATTTCCCTGCGCTCCCTCGAGCCGTGGCCGTTCTGCTGAGTAATGTCTGGCTGTCCTCACCGGTGGCTCTGATGGGGCTGGATGCTAGAGTCTCGCTCATAATGTTTTCTTTCTGCTTTCAAAATAGCAGCTCTGTCTTATCTCAATTCAGTTGGGATTGTTTTGCTGTAATTTTCTTTGAGATAGCACGAATCTGGATAGTATGTTATTCCCAAGATTTGGCGAGTTTTCACTCACGGTTTACTTAAGTTACCTTTCTGCTATTTTTCTCCTCTTTTTGTGGCCCCCACAAATGCATTCCTTTCCTGGCAGTGCACTGTAAGTCTTGGGTGCTTTTGTCTTTTTTGTTGTTGTTTCTCCAACTGCTTACAAATGAAATGTTGTGTGGTTGAATTTGTCATTGGAGCTCTTTTTTTTCCCCCACTCCTGGGACTTGAACTCAGGGCCTGGGCACTGTTCCTGAGCTTCTTTTGCTCAAGGCGAGCACTCTACCACTGAGCCACATTCCCAGCCCATCAGCTTCTTTCTTTTGTGCTTTCTGTTTCTTTGTTGAATTCTGTGTGGGGGTGTGTGGGTATGTGGGTGTGCACACGCGCATGCGCGCCAGTCTTGAGGCTTGTCCTCAGGGACTGTCCCTGAGCTTTTTTTCATGCAAAGCTAGTGCTCTACCACATGAGCTACAGCTCCACTTCTGGCTTTTGGTAACTGGCAATAAGAATCTCATAGACTTTCCTTCTCAGGCTGGCTTTGAACTGTGGGTCTTCAGATCTCAGCCTCTTGAGTAGTTAGCATTATAGGTATGAGCCACTGGTGCCTGGTGAATTACTCATTTTGTTCTTGTTTTTCTTTCTTAATTTTGGTTAGTTCTCTCCCTTTGTCTTTGTCTCTGTCTCTCTCTATCTCTCTCTGTCTCTCTCTTCCTCTCCTTTTGTCTTTATCTCTCTCTGTCTCTGTCTCTCTTTGTCTCTGTCTCTGTCTCTTTTTCTCTTTCCCTTTGTATCTCTCTCTTCCTCTCCCTTTGTCTCTGTCCCTCTTTTTCTCTCTCTCTGTCTCTGCCTCTCTCTCTTTGTCTCTGTCTCTCTTCCTCTCCCTTTGTCTCTGTCTCTGCCCTCCCCCGCCTTGCTATAGCTCAGTGGTAGAGAGTTTACCCACTGTGCAAAGTCCTGGGATTGATGCCAGACCTAAAAAAGAAACCCAAACTGAGATACTATTTTATATCCACTCTATTGACTAAATGTAGAGCGTGGAATGGCTGTACCAAGTGCTAGTGGACATGTCTCTACCGCGGTAGAGATGGATGAGACCCCATGAGAGAAAGCCATGGCTACTGTGAGCCACCCATGAGAGAAAGCCATGGCTACTGTGAGCCACCCAGGTCTGGAGCATGAGCTAGGGCAGTCTGTACTGGCGGCATCGTTTGTAATGTCAAAAAGGGGGCGGGGGGAGAACAGCGCACACTTCTGTCACCTGGGGAGTGACGCCATTGCCACCCTTTGTTCAGCACTGCAGTAAGAATCAAAGCCGTAACGAAATTACCCTCTCTGGTACATCAGTCTCAAAACGGTCAAGTGGGAAGGAAGAAGGTAGATTACTGGTAGATTTTACCAAGTTCAAAAAGAGGCAAAGCACAAAGGAAGTGCCAGAGAGGTGTGGAATGGGCTGTGGAGTCAGTGATGGGCTGGGGGGGGGGGTGGTCTTCGTGACCACACCCCCGTGGGGCCTGGATCTTCTGTGTTAAGTTAGCAGTGGTTGGTAATGGTAAGATCGGGGTCGAGTTTAAAGTCCTTGGCTGATCAGCTGCGCGTCTGTGTCAGCACAGGGATGCAGTGGCTGCGTTGGCCCTCAGCAGCGTGTCTGTGTCAGCACACGGGTGCAGTGGCTGTGTTGGCCCTCAGCTGCGCGTCTGTGTCAGCACACAGGTGCCGTGGCTGCGTTGGCCCTCAGCTGCACGTCTGTGTCAGCACACGGGTGCAGTGGCTGCGTTGGCCCTCAGCTGCACGTCTGTGTCAGCACA